TCCTCTGTCTAAAGAAGAGGATGAGAGTTTGTGCTGATTTTAACAGTTTAAAGTGACTTAGGCTGGATTTAGCTGAGCTGCCAAAAAATGTTCAGGAAATGGAAGTCCACAGACATTTGCCCTTCCTGTTATTATAATGTCACATATGGTGTCACACCTACACTCAAAACACTGCTAGGTCATTTCTTTAACTTGAAATATTTAGTTTGTGCTGTTAGAATAAAAGTCAGACAATTTCAACTGCAAAATGTGACCATGTTAGTTTCACTAGAGCAAATACCAAACAGGAGCCAGAAAGACATTTAAAATGCTTCCTTGTTGTGTTTTCACAAATAATGCAGGTTTCAAGAATGTCCAGTTCTGTTTTAAGCAAATTTCTGTTTATTGAATAATTTTTCAGTTTATGTTTTGAACTGAGACTCACAAAGAAAAACCCAGGCATATAATTTGGTTCCAGTAGGAAGTTCCAAAGCCCCAGTGCCGTCCTTGGCATCATTAATAATTTATGGTCAGCAAATCTTGGTTTGAGTATGTGTTTAGGAATGCGTAGTAGAAGTTATTTTTTACATTTTGATAAATACCAAAGGAAGGAAAAAAATCACAATATCACAAAATCCACTGCATGTTTAAATGGAATTACAATAGATTACATTTGAATTATATACATAGTTTAATTTATATTGTATGAATGATGCAAAAAACAGCATGATAAGGTGTTGGTTAGTTGCTAGTTTGACTATTTAACCATGTCCATCAGGTGGGAGGATGACTGGTTTCTTGATATATTAGTTTTAGATTTCTACAGCCCAGTTAACTACAGCACATAGCGTGAGAAAATGCTAAAAGTTTTTTTTCTTTTTTTAAGTTATTGTAAAATTCAGTATCTTTATGGGAATTCAGTGCAGCAACAATGTGGAATCAACTTCAGGAACATCAATGGAGATCTCATCAATTGTACATGCATTGCTCTTTCTCAGCCAGAAGGAGGCCCAGCTCACAAGGTTAAACACTCTTCTATCCCCCAAAGAAAGACTTTATGAGCTGGAAAAGAGACCAGCAGAGGTGTGTGGGTGTCTGACCCACAGAGATGGAATATCTGAGCCTGCTGGAGAAGGACAGGTCACACTGAAACAGAGAGTATTAATAAAGGGTCAATATCAGCTAATGAAGTTGAAGCCAAAAGGAGAGATTAATCTTTTATCTCCAACACATCTTAACATCATCTTGTCCCAGTTGTTCTTCAACTATAGTTTGCAACAACAGCATCATCAAAGGTTTCAATATCTCTAACTTTATGATGCAAGTGGATTCAGCTCTAAAGTAGAAGCTGACCTATCATAGTGTATCCAGAGAATGATGGCTTCTGCACAAAGCAAAGAATCAAACGCCTCATCAGTGAAAAGGAGGGATTAATGCATCATTGTACTCAGCAGGTCATATAGAAGCAAAATGTAACATTGGAATTTCACAGAAAATCTAAATCAGTGGAGTTAAGTGAGTTTCTGTGTCTTTCCACGCTGCAACTTTCTGTTGCCAATACTGATGCAATCATTTTTTTTACAAGGCAGTTTAATGGCACCGTTACTGAACACTAAATTCTTTGTAGTGTGACTCGCAGCTGCTGACAGTAAGTCTGTAGCAGTCTAAACGATGTCTAACACTAGATAATTGAGACATATATATATACAAAAAAATTACATTTCTGAAAAAAAAAAATAAAAAAAATAATTTGATAACCATAGATATGTGTGCAGAAATCAAATCTAATAATAGCTCTGGTGGGACTTCTGGAAAATATAACAGCACTTATAGATTTTCTGCTTCTTTAAAAAGTGTGAATAATATTGAAAAAAAAAGTATCCAGAAATTTTAGTTATTTACATTATGTTTGCTTTTACCACTGTCAAAAAATGCATACAGGTGACTCCAAATTAATTTGTTGAGGATTAAATAGAAAACATGAAACGAGTAACTGAACATGGTTAAAACAAATTTATATTAAGAAGTCATGTTTTGTTCAACTATTCATTATTTCTGACATTAAAGGGATTTATTGTCAATGATCAACAAAGAGAAGTGCACAAATATAAAGTGGAAGGAAACATGATTTTTAAACATGTTGGATGTATTTGTATCCCACAGCAACCTAAATTAATACTTTGTAGAAATTATTTTTCCTCCAATTACAGCTGCAGGTTTTCTTCAAGCTTTGCACAACATTTATATTTTTACCAATTAACCTTAAGCTCAGTCCGGCTGGATGGAGAATATCTGAAAATCAATTTTAGTGTTTTGCCTCATTAACTGGCCAAAGCCAGTTAGTGAATTCTTTGAGGTTTAAGCTGCTGATTCCAGTTTGGACAAGTTCCAATCTGTATTGTATGAGTATGACACAAAATCATTTTGTTCATTTGTAACAATTTAACAATTAAACATGCCAAATGCTAAACAAGAAAATGTGAAGCAGGTGCCTTGGTAGAAACAGTAGTTTTCAAAATGAGGAGAGTGACACCTTTTTTTGTCTCTAATCTTCATGTGACTGTATGAAACCCAAAGCAAAGTGCAGCAAGCACCTCAGTCAGATTAGTTGGAAAGATCATTTGTTTGCAAAGCAACCTGACTGGATTTGCCACTTCAAGCCCACTGACATAAACGCATGACCATCTGCAGTGTGTAATGACGGACAGCCTTGTGAGCCAGCAGCTGGGGCTTATCATGGCTGATATTAAGCTATCTCCAACAGTGTGTGCCAGTCAGGCTGTTTATCAAAGCACTCATCCCTCTTTCAACAAGTCTGCCTGCCCACCTCAGCAGAGAATGCACAAAACAGATGCAGCTGTCAAAGAAGAGAAGCGAAGCGAGGTTCTGGTTGTTTGATTAGTTTGGGGCTGAGCTGCTCTCTGGATCCTGGGAAACTTGCCAGTCAGAGAGGAAAACCATCACCGAGATCTCAGCATACCAAGAGAATAGATGTGTACTTATTCATCTTCACTGGCAAATAAAAACACAACTAAATCAATTCTGAAAATCGTTACATCTATCATTGTGATATAGAGATGATAAGAGACCATTAATACTTGAAGGCAGCACTATGAATAGACAGATTGATGGTAAGTTCAGCCATCATATGAGATTTCCTGTTATTTCATCATTCCTTCCCAAACTGTACTGAGCTGGAAATCCATAACTGAGCATGCAATAGTCCAGGGAAGATCACTTTTTAACTCCGAGGGGCAGGGGGGGGGCAAACATCACCAGCAAGTGAAGTGTGTGTGGTCAGTGATCGCCCTTTAAAAATACAAACACACGTCTCATATTCACTCACTTGGCTTTAAAGGGGAAGTCAAAAATGGGTGAGAGCTCTACAATAAAGAGACCTTTCTTTCACCATTCGTCTGAGACACTCAGTCATTCAGAATGGTGTCAGTGCCTCGATGTGAGCTTTTCCAATATACAGGCATACAGTAAAAGTACTAATGCCAATTCAACTTAATCCTGTTTTGTCACATCACAGCCTCAAACCTCAATGTGTCTTACTGAGCTTTTATGTAACAAACCAACAGAAAGCAGTCCATAACTGAAGTGGAAGGAAACCGTTTTTTAAAAATGTTTTACAAATAAAAAGCAGTATTCAATGCCTTTGTGTCAATATTTTGTATGACCACCTATCGCTGTAATTCCAGCTGTGAGTCCATTAGAGTTCATCTGCACCAGCATTATAAACCCGAAAACTGAAATGTCTGTGTAGATCTTTGCAAAATAGCTTCAGCTCAGTCAAACTGAATTAAGAGTGTCCTTTGACCATTGATTTGAAGTTTTGCAAATAATTTAATTGGGTTTAAGTCATTCTAAACTGAATTTTCTAAGTACTAAGTACTCATCCAATTCTAAACTGAGCCACTGGTATATTTAACTTACAAGGCCATAGTAGGCCAGCTGAGTTCACATCTTCAGAGATGTTGTTTTGGGGTGTTTACCAAATGTCTGCCTTGATTTCCTTGCAAAATGGCCAAAATAAGCCGAGAATGTTTTATCTAATAGCACTGTGAAATGTCGATTTCCTCACTGTATATTTTAACTGCATATAAGTGGTTTATTGATGTAATTCCTGGTTAAATGCTAAATACACCAAAATGCTTCAAAATGACAGACACACTGCCCTTTTCTCACAAAAGTTGGAATCATTGTTCATTCTCAGAACATAAAGCTTTCTCAGAACGTGTTTGCAGATTGTTTTAAAATGTTGCCGAAAACCTGTGTACTTTTTGAAATATCACAAATAGTATTAATAAACTCAGGTATACAACAGAATCTTTTGATGTTTACCCAACATGCTAAAATTACATTATAAAAAATGAAAAGAAAATAAAACCACATTTTTCCTTGCAAAACTAACTTTTGCAAGAAAAAGTTAGGATCATGATTTTTTGATAATGACCTATGAGCTTTGGACTCATACCAAAAATATGTCCAACTTCTCGACTCAAGCTAATCATTTTCTGTTTTGTCCCAATTATTCACAAAAAAATCAACTCAGTTCCTGTGAAGAAGCAGCAGCAGCAAAACATGTTTTATAGTGGTGGAAAAGTGATTACATCCAAACCCAGAGATTAAAGACCTCACTAGCCAGATATAATCTTAATGCTGCAGTGATTAATGATGGATTACAATGCATGAGAAACACAGAGTCCAGCGCAAGGTCATCATTGTGATCAGATGGCACTTAGCTGCTTCTTTCGCACATTTCTGACTTTAAAACCCCGATTAGAAGAACAGGGAAGTAAATCCAGCACAAAAAATGAAAAGCCAGCCAGAAATGCCACTGACCTTCACTGGCAACAGCACAAAGAGCGAGCCTACTTTTACGCTGTGCTGCCCTCTCCTGTTCACAACCATCATTACACTCCAAAGTATCCGTTTTTATTGTTTATTAAATGCATTCTTCTGTTTAAAAAAGAATAAAACAAAGTCCAATCAGAAAGAATTATTCCAAGAAAGAAGAAGCACCAACAACATAAAAGAGTCTGGATGAAAACACCAGGCAGGATAAAGACGGCTACTATAAGGTACATGCACTGCAACGATGATCCACGAGAAACAGAACATTTCTGTGCTTCAAGGGAACAGCTCATCAGGTCAAAGCTGAAGATCGCTTACCGCGCACCGTCCCGCCACACACAGATTTGTTTCATTTTGTCCGCACGGCGTGCCATCAATCACCCTGTCTGACTGTCGCACGTAGAATCTGAACCCAGTGGCCCGGCAGTTTAGCTCACAATGCTGCCCCCCAGGAACTGAGAGAGAGAAGATCAAAAAGAGTGAGACATTTAGATATTTTGAGAACATGATGGTTTCACACAGTGTATTAGCAAAAGATAACAGTGTCAGAGTAAAAAAGACAATGACAGACTTGACGTATCATTGATGAAAACAAGGTAATTAATTTAGTCTGTGAACATGCGAGTTTGATAAAAGTCCAATGGTTTCTAACAGGGAAACAGAAAACACAAAGGAATGTTTTACAGTATCTCCACAGACAAACTTGTTTTACATTTTGTCAGGTTAAAACCAGAAAAAAAAACAGTTTTATTGGAATTTTGTGTGATAACCACCATAATTAGAAGGAGTAATTGCAAAGTTTTGTCAAATAAAGGTCTGAAAAGTGTGGCATGTATTTGTATCCTCCTTTACTCAGATCGTCTAAGTGAAATTTTACTCAACACCTTTAGAAGTAACATAATTAATAAACTCCACTTGTATGTGATTTGATTTCAGTAAAAAATTAGAAAACAGTAGTGAACATACAGCAACATTAGGACCAAGTGACTCCACAGAAAGGTCAAATATAAAACTGTGGAGAAGTTTAAAGCAGCATTGGGGGATTAAAAATACCACAAGGTTTGAACAAATCAGACTACCATCCTATCCGTCATCTGAAAATGGAAAAGCCGTCCACCTTCACTGACAACATAGATCACAGAAATGGTAAATGGCCTGCACTTGTATAGCGCTTTATCAAGTCCAGAGGACTCCAAAGCACTTCACACTACAGTCTGTCATTCACCCATTCATGCACACACTGATGGTGGCAAGCTACTGGATAGTAATAAAGGGCAGTCTGACAAGAACAAGTCTGATAGAAACAAGGCTGCCAGGCACCGGCCCCACCGCCACCAGGCCTGCTGGTGATGCTCGCCAACTGAATGGCAGTTTGCTCTAGGGTAGGTGTGGCTAAAATGTAGCTTTACGCCATTAGTGTGAATGTGAGTATGAATGACTAAATGTAGTGTAAAGCACTTACAAGTTCTTGCAAATCATCAGGTCCTACAAAAGTGGCAATTTACCATTTACATCAAATTGTATAGTGGGCAGAAATAATTATAATCATGAAGCCTACCTTCATTAAAAGGTTCCCATTTATAGAGTCTGCCCATGAAAGGCTGGTTGTTGTAGGAAGAACACTGAACCGCTCTGATGTCTTTGCTGGATGGAGGACAATCCTGAGACGAACAAGAGAAAGAGTGAACAAGCATTTATTTTTCCATAAACATGTAAAGCCATCAGTAACAACTTCTGGCTCTTATTGTCATGTTCTGACAAATGGCTGGAGTCCACAGACATGTTAGTGAAACTAGATCTCACTGAAGTCTGAACAAGTTTCTATTCAGCATTTCCTCTTATTTAACAGGAGGAAAATATATTGCCCGCTAACTTAAATGCACAAAAGTGTTGTGGCTGACTGAAAATTGGTTTTCATAGATTGCTGCTTCATCTTTTCTCACAGGTTTCTGTTTCACTCTGAAGATTAATAATAAACAATTCCTGACATTCTCACAATGTTGGGCTTGTTGGTCTTGCCTGCACCATAAAACTTTTCTTTGATTCCAGGTGTTCTGAATACAGACTAGATGAAAAATTGATTTTTTTCTTGATTTATAGACATATTTGAGAACACAAGGCTGCCTGGTGTCACAGGTTTTAGCACTGCTGACTTGCAGAGAAGAGGTTTGTGGGTCATATGACTTTCTGTGTAAAGTTTGCATGTTCTAACCATGTATACATTTTTTTTTGTTTTTTTTTCTGGATAGTCTGGCTTCTTCACACAGTTCAAAAACATGACTTTGTTCAATTAAATCCTATCCCTACTATTGTGGGAGTCCAGACATGCATACATTACTGTTGCAGATCCTGTAGAGAGCATGCTCCCCTGTACAGAAGGATGAAGGCAGTGGGTTGTAAGGTCTCTCTTTGTGCAGCTGGTGGCTGGAGGTGTGACTCCCAGTCTGGACCTCAGCCTGGTTAGAGGATGCAGGCTGGTAAAGGGAAGTCCAGACTTGGTTATTCCTGGGATGTTGAGTCCTGGGATGCACATATGGCCTGGTAAAGTGATGGAGGTTGTTGGAGGCATCCAGTTTGTGTGATCTGAGGTCGGTGTGCCCTCTAGGAAAAGCCTGAAGGGAGTTAGCAGCAGGGGAGCGTTTTTGTCTGTGGAGGCGAGGGGAAGCTGAGCCTCTGCCTGAATCCACTAACAGTGGAGCCACATGAGGTGCTCGTCCATACCCATACCTCCCTGGGACAATGTGGGTGACCTTCCTGGAAATATAAATGTAGATTATGATGTATTTATCCCAAAATTAACACATTTTATCTAAAAAATAAGATTTAGTGAAGAATTATTAATTGCTTTTAAAAACCACCAGAAAAATGTCAACGTGCTTTTTCTGTTTTTCACATGGAGTCCAACATAAACAACTCCTGCAGCTGTCAGCATTATTTGCTTAAAGGCAAGCCTGACAGGAAGGAGGCCACCAAGCTGCCAAACACAGGCTAAACCTTTGACTGTAGTTACAAAAGACTGGCTTTCCACTGGAAGGCAGTCACAGCGACGGCTCCAGAGAGTCACTTTTACACCAGGATGCTCAGCATGCAGCACACATCTCAACAAATACATGAGCTTTATAAAACAAAGCGTACTAAATGTTCCTGACATTTCAGACAGCTTGTCTTTAGTCGAGGCAACATAGAAGATAAAATAAAAAATCTTAAGTAATTGATATTTCATATGCTTAGAAATTTAGGACAGATGCGTAATACACAAGAAACTTCTGTGGGCATATTAATCTACCTGAGCTGAGATCTTTGCAGCTCCTCCAGGGCAACCATAAGTCACTTGTAAAGGATTTATCAGCTTCTCTGATTAATGCTCTACTTGCTCCACTTCATCTCAGGTGAATTGACATGTCTTAATAATTTTAATTTTGGCATCTTCCATTTTCAGATGATTAAATGAACTGTGCTCCATGAAATTATCACTCTAATTTGCCCTTAGGTATGGTTGTCTGTAATGTACGTCTCTGTGTTGCCCTGTGATGGACTGGTGACCTGTCCAGGGTGTACCCCACTCCTCACCCAATGAGATTGGCACCAATCTCACCGTAACCCTACAAGGACAAGTAGGCGAGGGCAATGGATGGATCACCTACCACTTATTTAAACCTTTCCACAACATTCTCAATGTCTGCCTTCAAAGAACATTTGCATTTGTATATTGATAAAATTGCACAGAATAAGTCTGTTTACTTTTCAGGAGACATTTGATGGCTGTGCTTGTTTTTCTTTGTAAAAAAAAAAAAAATAGTTTCACCTTTACAATTATGCCTTTCTTTGTGTTAAGGCACAATTAACACAAAGATAATTACGCTTAGAATCCCAATATACATTAAGGCAAAATGTGTGAATGTTCAAAGGGTATTATGATGTTTGCATACCATGTCCTGTATACAGTGAAGTAAGAGCATTACATCCTTAAAATGCCATCCAGTTCTATAGAAGCCTGTTAATCACCCATTCATTTAAGATAACAGTGTGGCAGCAGGGAAGACGTAAAATAGTTTAAATTTTATTTATGAAAAAAGAGATCTCAATGTTTTCTTACCTGCGTTCTCCTGGCCTGCTCTGCTTCTCCCTCCTCAGCTGTCCCCTGCTGCTGCTGTTGTTGAAGGCTCTGACACCACTGTGGCGTGGAGCAGCAGCAGGCTTCAAAGCTGAAATGACATGGCCTGGCTGCTGGGGCTGAACGGCAGCTCCTCTGGAGGGGTATTGAGTGTACACAGGCAGACAGGGCCTCGTCTGTTCTTGTACCCCTTTCCCACATGTCCGGGAGCAGGTTGACCAGGCGCCCCAAGTGCCCCAGGCTCCCTGAATTTCCCCGTACTCTGCCCTGAACTCCTGTTGAGACTCTGTCCTCTGAGGCACCTGTATGGACGCAACAGAGCTTATATTAGATAAGCAGCTAAGTGCAAAAAAGTGGGACAGGACCTTTAGATGTGAAAGCCAAGTACTCATGGGAAGCATTCATCAACAAGACTTTAATCTCTGCAGATCTTGGTTTGGAAAAACACTCAAGTCAGTGACCTCATCTCCTCACCATGAATATCCTGATCCACCACCTCTCTGTCCCTGTACATGAAGCAGACCTCTGTTCAGTGTAATAAAACCCTCATCTGGCTGGTCGCCTATCCCTGATTGGCTACCTGAATTACTCCCTGTTGACTCTACTTTTCTGTGCAACTGCGCCAGGGACGTTTTAGCAGCGATCAGTGAGCTCACTGTTTGAGGAACAGCGTGCCAAACCGGCATTATGTATGGAAATCCTAGTTTTTGAGGAGCACTTTGTCTCTATTCACATCACCCTCTCTGGGCAAACACATGGCTGCAGTAAAAACTTAGCGACCGCCGAGTTTTATCGGATGAAAAGAGAATACAGGAGCGGCAGGGGGAGTTGGCAGAAAGCTCCTCGGATGTCAATCAGCCTGGGTAGCTATTCAGCAAGACATCAGAACTCCCCGCCCCTGGCTCCTTTACTGCTTCAACTCAATGCCACTGTCATCTCTGGGTCAGCATCGGGTCACGCAGCTGGACTCCAAGTGGAAGCACGTGAAGTCAACTTCACACAAACTGCCCTCCAACTTTTAACTGAAGGGACTGTAGATATGTCACTGAGCTTCACACACGAGCTTCTTCCATGGGGTTTCTGTTCCTGCAGGGTTCAAGAGGTGGCTGTCTGACAGCTGACGTCTGCCTTCTCTGTGTCACTTGGGTGCACTCACTACTTCTCAGACGTTCACAGATTATGAGCAAAATGAGCTTCTATCAGGAGGCAATCTATCTATCTGGCTACTTAGAGTAAAGGATGTTGTAATAATTGTCTAACAGACTCAGTTCGAATGAGGACCAAAACTGCAACATTTGTCACATTTTCAGCTGGTTCAGTTCACTTTCACACTGTGCCGATCGATCCAAACACCTTTGAGCAACCCGTTCTCCACAGTGCCTGTGGTGACGCTGCACCAAGAATTACTGAAGGAATTACACAAAAATATCTGAAAAAGACATTGATTTCAACTTCCTTCTTCACAAAATGTGAACAAAAGTGAAGGGGCAGCAGGTTTTAGCAGTTGTAAAATTTCTCTTTTGTCCTTTGTGAAAGTCCACACCATTTCTCCAGATAGCACTAGACTTGTACGTTTGTTTTTACCCAGAATGCCCTACTCTATGACGGACCCCTTGCTTGCACGTTATTTTCACATCCGGAAATTTCGCGCCTGCGCACAACGCTGGAGGGAAACATTCTTTTACATGGTAGAACAATTCTGTTAACTAAATAAAACCTGGAGATGTATGTAT